GGTTCGGGTGGTTTTGGGACTGTATTTAAAGTAAAGCATAGATTGGATGACAAGATATATGCCGTTAAAAGAGTACAATTTGAAGGTAAATATCATCACTATTTGTTTCATTAATTAAATTTTAATAAATATAATATATTTATAGATTTTAGTGAAGAAAAGAAACAAAATATTATAAAAGAAGTGCAAAGTTTGTCAAAATTAGACTCAGTTTTTGTGGTTAAATATTACAACTCATGGCTTGAGTCTAATTATTTCAACATTCAAATGGAGTTTTGTTCACAAAATCTTAAATCTGTTCTCCAAGACAAACCCATTGTCTTCGAGAGACAACCGGAAGACCACATGAATAGTGTGTTTGAGTTTTTTATGTCGTGTGAGATATTCAGGGAAATCTTAGAGAGTGTTCAATATCTTCATGAATCGGATCCACCGGTCATTCATCGGGATTTGAAACCTGAAAATATCTTAATTGATGTTAACCTTAGTCTCAATCGTTGTGTAAAACTGTGTGACTTTGGTTTGGCCACCGAACACAACACCTGCCTTAATATTGGCAGTCAATACGACCACACGTCATGTGTGGGTACTATGAGATACATGTCACCCGAGATCTACCAGGGTAGAAATTATAATTACAAAACAGACATTTATAGTCTCTCTTTAATCGGCGAACAACTGTTTGGTATTGATCTTCAGACGTATGTATTAATACTTAATTGATTTGTAGAATAAAATTGTTTTAGAAATTAATATTTACAAAATTTACTCATTTAAAGTTCTCAAACATTTGAAGCCAACGAATCGGTATTTAAGACATCCATGCAATGTATGTATCGGACACTTCTGGCAATGATGTCAACACCCAATTGGAGACAAAGACCTGAGTGTCGGGAAGTATTGGCCAAAAGTAACGAGTGGTTCATCGATAAGACTCTTGTCGTTAATGACAGGGAATTTAATTCAGCGTTAAATACACTTAAGAGTTATAAAAATATAGTTTTTTATGAGATATTATTTTGTAAAACAAAATCAGTGTAAACGGATAACTCTATCATATTATGAACTAAATATTTCTATAATATTATAAAATTATTTTATAACTACATTAATATATAAATTTTACAAAAATAAAAATGAGCATATTTAATTTTATTTTGTATTTATTCGGAAGGTAAAATGATTATAGTAAATTTATAATAAGTTAATACAAAAATATTTACAATTAAAATATGAAAATATATACTGTAATTGAAAATTAGTAAACAAAAATTAATTTTTAATTCTTTTTTTTAACACTTTATATCAATCTTATGTTATTTTAAAATTAAATTAAGTATAAACTTTTCAGATTAACCGCTTGTTAAATTAAACTATGCATTTTCATAAATTAATTTTTGTATTAAGTTTTTGTGTTATTAATTACCATAATAAAACAATTATACATTTACATTTATTTAAATTATTTAAATTAATATCAATTGACGTAAATTTATATTGAAATAAAGATTACATTAACATATTTTTAAATATTTTGTAATTAAAAAATAAAACCTTTTAATTTAAAATAAAATAATAAGTTTTTAAAAATAACCTTATAGATTATAAGAGATAGTCTTAAGTGAATTTATTAGCAAATATTTTAAATGTGCTATAAGTTATAACTTATACTATAAAATTACAACTGCCCTTGTATCATACTACTTGTTATTTGTTGCGTTGATTGACAATGATCATAAACAAAATAATAATAATAGTAATATTTCTAACTTTAATAATCTTTATTTAGTCTCTTAAATAATTTAGTAAAACTACAAAATATACAATTAAACGCTCAATTTTATTTTATTTTAAAATAAACACCTGGTTACTATTATTTTAAACAAAACTTTGTGAAATAATTAATTTTTAAAAATCATTCAAAATATCAATAATGTTTGGAAGAAAAGTATCGTCAAAAGGCAAATCGGTTTTAATTACTGGTAATTTATAAATTTCTGATTTAAAATAAATAATCAATGATTTAAATTTTTAGTTTTTATACAATATTGGACAGAGCATACTCTACTAGCTTACTTTATAAATATTAAAAATTATACTTAAATTCTTGCTTAAAAACTTTTTACTATTAATAATAATATAAATATTCTACAAAATAGGCTGCGATTCTGGTTTTGGCAATCGTTTGGCGTTTCGGTTAAACTCAATGGGATTTCGAGTCTATGCGTGTGTTTTAGACACAGAGAGTACCGGAGCTCAGGATCTGAGCAATAAATGCAAGTTTTTGGACGAGATATGTATTGTGCGAATGGATGTCACTATAGATGAGGACATCGATCGGTGCCACGAGTTTGTTGTCGCGGATCTGCAGACCAGTGGCCGTGTGTTGTGGTCAGTGGTTAACAACGCCGGTCGCATGACATACGGGCACTTAGAATGGGGTAAATTTTCACAATACACTAAAGTGTTTGATGTGAACGTGTTTGGTGTGGTTCGGGTGACCAGAAAATTCATACCACTTATACGACAATCAAAGGGTATGCCATTCGCTCACAATTTCCTGTTTGAAAATAACATACAAACTATTTAAATAAGTTTTATAATAATTTATTAATAATAATAAATAATTTATACATATAATTAGCATTTATTAATTAATACAAAAGTGAGATATACAGGAAAATAATAAAGTACATTATTTGTATACGTGTACAAATAAAGTAACAAATATAATTGACATAGGTCGCTTAGTGTTCACCACCTCCCAGTCGGGTCGAGTGGCGTACGACAATCTCGGCCCGTATTGTATGTCCAAAGCGGCGGTCATAGCGTTCACCGATGTTTTGCGGCGAGAGATGCGACCCTTTGGGGTCCGGGTGTCAAACATAGAGCCCCTGCTATTCAAGACAGCGATGTATGCGTTGGCAAAGCCGGAGCTAAACAAAAATTGGTCCGAAACGGAGGGTCAGGTGCGCGAGGCCTACGGCCAGGACTACTACGAGCGCCAGATTCATATCCTTGACTTTGGACTTACTGTAGTTAAGGGCAGCACTAATCTGGATATTGTTTGCAACGATTTGGTAGATGCAGTGGCCAGTCGTCGGCCCAATAAGTACTACACGCCAGTAAATGCGTGGTGGCTTCACGGCTATCACCGTTTAGCCCGTCTAACACCCCAATGGTTAATCGACCATGTTTTTTATGCAGTCAATTCAACGAAACCTACTTTTATGCACAATAATAGTAATCTGTAAGATGAGTTTGATTAATCATGTTCTTTGTATTAATGTTTTGTTGTTGTCTTATAATTATAATATCGATATATACAATATAAAATCTATAATATAATTAATATGGTTAATTTAGATTATAAAATTGATAATTATTGAGACAGACGAGTATAATACAGCCATATGTTATTAAATATTGTATACAATTTATACTTTAATTTCTTTGTAATTTAATTATTAAATCTACATATTTAATTTTAAATATTGTTTGATAATATTAAATACAAATTAATTCATGTGTCTTAATGTTTTAAATCTTATTTTTGTTATTCATTTGCTTTAATCTATCATTAACTAAGTAATTAAGGTAAAGTTTTAAAAATTATTTTAATAAACCTTAATAATTACATAAAATATTTAATTATCTAATCTGTTAAATTTTTTAAAATAAAATTAACATTATTTTCATAGTCCTAACAATATCCATAGAATAATAACCCCATAGCTTATTAATAGCTTAATAATGTTATAGTATGTTAAATCCCATAAGGTAAAATGGAGGGGATGAAAGGGTAGCCTGCTCCTATAACTAAAATTTTCAATTTGAACTATATTTAAAATTGAAATTTGGTTTCTAAAGCCTAAGACTTTTACAATTCTATGTACACGAAAATGACTGAAAGCCAAGATATTATCAAATATTGCCAATAATTTATTTGCTTTGCTTAGGGCAGCATTTTTTATTTGATTTAAAATATGTAAATTTAATAATAATTTAAAACAAAAAATTAAAATTTGTTATTTTAGATAACATATACAATATAACAAATGTATGACTATTATGCAATATAACGTGTGAAGCATTAAAATGATGAATTATTAATTTTTATTAATTATAAATTACATATAATTATAAAAATAACTATAAATTACATTTATATTGCAATATTATCAACTAAGTAAAAGTAAAATGTTTTTTTTAAATCAATTAAAAAAATATAATAAAAATATTACCCTTTAATTAAAATTTAGATTTATACTGGCTTGATAAGTTGTAAAGTATAAAATATAAAGAATGTAAAATATAATGGAGATGTAAATGTAAATAATGGTGATTTGCGTAATTAATATTTATAATTATCAACAACACACTAAAAGGCACAATATTAAATAAATCATTAAAAAGTAATCATGTTTGACGTTGGTATTTCTTATAAAACGCATTATTTTTTTGCTATTATCAATCTAAATGTATATTAAGCTTTTACTAAAATTAATTCATTAATTTAATTAATATTTCAAAGTATAGATTAATTGATACAAACATTTGAACATTTACTGTTTATCAATTAAAAAATAATTAAATTAAACATTGAAATAAAATATGAAATGTCAACATTATGTTTTTAATATTTAAAGTTTCATTAATTAGTCTCTACCAAGACAAAACACTCATATTAGTTACCTAAAACACCTGTTCAAAGCATGAACTACCAAGTTGCAATTTTACAATCAATTTTTCGCAAAAAGTGGGTAAAAGTAACTTACTTTTTATCAAACCAGAAATTAGTCAAAGGGAAATTATTTGTTATCTAGATAATAAAAAGTAAATAAAAAATTATAATTACAATAATGCATTAAATGTTGCTATTTCTTTGTACATTGTAAAGTTTAAAGAATAAATTTATTAAATATTATTTGCATTTAATTTTAATATTTGATATCAAATAATAAAATTTAAATATTTAAATGTGTGTATCATATCATCCTTCATTATTTATGCATTAAAATATATTATTAATTTTATTGATACGCAATATTTATAAGTGAATTAAAAATTATTAATTTTTTAAAAACATCAATGTCACAGAATAATTTCAATATGATGTAAAAATGTATATAGCTTTTATTTTATTAACATAAGATTAATACATTATTAATAATAATAATTTATTTTTCTATTATCTTATTTAATAATCTATCTAGAGTCAGGCTAGACAAACTTCTCCATTTTGTCACCTTCACCCACTTTTTACAAAAAGTTCATTATAAAATTGCACCTTGATAGTGCATGCTTTGAAGGGGTGGCAGGTGGCTAAGGTGACTAAAATGG